ATCCTAAGGACAAAAAGTACCACAAAGAAATCTTTCACAGCATTCAATAATCTTATGTTTAGTAGTATTATTGATACTGCCAATTTTAAACTTTTACATGTAAATTATATGATTAAAACAAATAAGTAATTATGCTAATATCAATAGGTGGTAAGATTTTCAGTGTGAGAAAACAGGGATACAACTAAATAGTCAAAGAAGATTAGTAACAACATGGCAATCTTAAGTTTGGGAAAAATCAGTATGAACTCATGATGTATTTTCTGTTCAAAAAATGCATTTTCTGGTTCTCTCTACTAGAAATTATGACAATCCAGTAGAAATGAGCAAGAATGGGAGCCCTTTTATCCCCTTTCAATCCCTCCCTGCCCTCATGGGTACCAACTATCCAGATTTCTAACACACAGTAGTTCTGCTAGGTTTTAAGCTTGTTATCGATGGAACAATATTGCACATACTCTTTTGTGCCTGTCTTCTTCAGCTCAACCTTATGTTTGTGAGATGCACCCATGTTGCTATGTGTGGTTTTAGTTTGTTCATTCTCATCACATATAGTACTTGACTGTATGAATATACCACAGTTTATTTATCCCTCCTACTGCTGATGGACAGTTTCATTGTTTCCAATTTGGGATATAACAAATAACGCTCCTATGAACATTTTCTTTACATGTCTTTTGTTGAACATATGGTACATTTTTGTTGAACGCATGTGTTATACATATATACACATATTTTGTTGTACATGTGTTATACATATGAACATATGTACGTATATGTAGGAGAGAAACTGCTGGCCATGAGGCTTGAATATTTTCAGATTTAGTAAATACTGCCAGCCTGTTCATGAAAACAATCAAGCATTTACCTTACATTTTCTATAAAAATTGAATTTCAAGTTAACAAAATAGTTGATAAGGAAAAGTTCCTATTCACAGAAAAATTCCTTCTAATAAATGAGGAGAGAATGATAAGTTAGAAAATGACCATTTTGCAATCCCTGATAAAGAAATGGGCCTAAGCAAAGACTGTCATCACCAAATGTTAAAAGCACTGAGTGACAGGGAAATGGATAACTTTGAGATGGATGGATCAGGGTGACAGCATCTAAACCAACGAAACAGTATTAGTATACTAAAAGGAGGACAACACAGATACTACATACGTCCTCATGCGATGCAAAGAAGAGTCACCTCATGAAATCTTGCCAAAGTAAGATTGAACCTAAATCTAATCAAACCTCTAGATCTCACTATCCTTTATGGGAAATGCAGGGGAAAGAGGAACAATTTAATGATACCACAAAGAAGCAATCAGCCAAATCTAGAATGTGGTAAATCTTAAGGAAAATTGACTTAGTTACTCCCACAAATTAATGGTATTTTTTTAAAAAAGAGGAGGGCTATTCTTAACACTTAGGCTTACCAACCAAATGCAATGTATAGATTAATGTAGATTAATTTGAATAACCTAAAAGAAATATTTTTGAGACAATCAGGGAAATTTGAATATAGACTGGGTATTGGATGATATTGGGGAAATGTTGCTAATTTTTTTAGGTGTGAAAAATGGTATTGCAGTAAAATAAAAAAAGAAAAAAATGTATATTAAAGTATTTACCAGGAAAATGATATGATAAGTAGGTATTCTTTAAAATATTTCAGCCTATTAGAAAAGTGGGAGAGGCAGGTCAAACAAGACTGGCGAAATATCACTGATTGCTGAAACAGGCTGTACACGAGTATTCATTACTATTCTCTCTACATATGTTTGAAATTTTCCATGATAAATATACTCTAAAATTTTTTAAATATGGTTTCCCAAGTGACGTAACATAAAATTTGTGCTTCGGTGGAAAACTATGCATTGTTTAGACTCTAGATGACCTGCTCTGGATTATCTATTCTGATTCTATCTAGGCTATTTCACAACTCTGTAAATTACAGACAACTGACAGCAATGACAAAGAGCTCTTGTCTAAGAACATGCAAATCCTGTCCTACCTGGTAGGGTTTCAGTTGCCCTCTCTCACTCATTGTGGAAGAAGTTAGTTTTGTCCCCATTTGCACATTCATTTCAACATCCTTTACTCCACATAAATGTGTGCTGTTCTGACTTCTCCTTTGATCCTCTTATAACATCTGCCACGTTCCCTGCCTACAAGTTAAAGAAAATCTTTCACACGTGTTCATTTTTATGTGTATGAGAGTCATAATTTTATCCCTTTTTGAAAGTTATCGCTTAACAGTGATAAACAGTATTTATGTCTTTCTTGTGAAGCTGGAAGTAAAATAAACTAATTAGTGTACTTATGAATCATTATGTTAATGAATAATTGTTCAATAATTTCAGAATAAATTGTAAGCTAGTCATACAAATATTAACTACCTTTTCCTCCCATTTTTTTATAAATTTCTTCATACCATTAGTTCCAGAAACCTCTTTGGAATCTTTGTACCAGAGCCCTGGATGCATTTGCAGTAAGCATGAGAACTCACCCGAGTCAAATGGGAGCGGAGCAAAACTGAAAACACTTCAAAACAAAAATTGAGTAACAGCTCCTAAAAACTTGTGCCAAAAATTCAAAAAATTTTATACAGATCCAAGACTTCGTCGAAAGACACAAGCATGGTCTGCGTCATTTAACAAAAATCTTACCAAGTTTTAGTGTAGGGGTCTCACCTTATACGTCTACTCCACCACTTCAACTGTTATTCTTTCTCTTTTCTTAACAATGCACTCTTTTCTTCACTGAGACTAACTGTGGACATTGGCATTGCATCACGTTTTAGTTACAGATATCCACTGCTGCTTCTCGGGTATTTAGGAGTCATGTCTCACGGCCATCTGGGCCCCATGTTGCTTCCATATTCACTGAGTTTAACGGCAATCAATCAATCAGTAAATATTCTTTTGTGTTTATCTTATAAGAGCTTCACAAATGCAGAAATAAATTTGAACTCCATATCAATACATAGCTCACTTCCAAAAAAGGATACTATAGCTTGATACTATAGCTGTGTCTGTGATCTGTCACTGAACTTTCTCCCTAATTTCAAAAAAAGCAGATGCCAATTACTAAGAACAAGTAGAAGAATGTGTTGAAAAAAACTTTAAAGAGAAGAAAACATGCTATATATACTCTGGTTAATTTACTTTTAAACACTTTAAGCTCCTAGAGAAGACTGGCTTTCCTTGTAGTTTTAATTATTTAGAGCTCCAAGTAAGGCTTTGCACGGTCTACTCCTTTTAACTAGTATCTTCTTCTTGATCTCCGCCTCTCTCTTTCACCTGGCACATTTGCCCGATGCATCCACTCAGGCCAAGCAAATGTGCCCTCTTTGCGGAGCCTTCCCAGATCTCAAGCAGAGTCAGGAAGCCTTCCTGTATTCCCACAGCACTTTCTCCCGACCTCTTTCATCACAGTCTTCACGTTGAATTGTAAACCTGTACTCCAACAGCTTTCCATCTCACTCCAAGTGAAAATCAAAGCGTGGAATCTCAACTCATTTACAACAGCTTTCTTATTGGATTCTGATTATTTACTGGCTCTCCCAACTCCCTCAGAAGAGAAGTCAAAGCCTGCGACCTGATATCCCTGAGATCCTTGCGCCACTTCCTCACCTCTTGCTGCTGTTTATTGCAACATCGCTGTAGGTGTGTTCCCCTCTCTTGCTTTATGTTTCCCGCTGGCACTTATTGCCATCTCTCAGAACATATTTTGTTACTTATTTATCTTGTGTATTGTCTGTCTCCCTCCACAGAAATGAAAACCCCCCGAAGACAAAGGGTTTTGTCTGTGTTGCTCACAGGCGTACCCTCAGGACCTAGAACAAGGTCTGGACACAGTAGCCCTTCAGTAACTATTCTTATGGCAGTCTCTCTTACCACCCTCTGAGCTTCTTAAAGGCAAAGCTTTGGTTTTATTTGTGCAATTCTAGCATTTACCCGTCACACTGTACATATTCAGTAAGAACTAGTCTCATGGATTTCCCCTTGGGGAGACAGGTCAATTCTAGGATAGTTGCAATGGGTAGAGATCAAGAAAAGGCCATTATAACAACCTTGCTCGTTTCCACATCATTTCCTTGCTTCATCTTCATTACTTGAGATCACCTGGAAGAGGTCATATAAGGGCTTTGGACTGTCCATGGAGAGACTAGACGTGGTGGTGGAGCGTAACAGAGGAAGTATAGGGTGTTTAAAATTTTTTGGCACTTGCTAGTCATTATTGGTATACCTCACCAACAAGGTAAAGTGCCAAGAGCTGAGACTGCCTGGATAGGGAGGAATGAGAAGAGTCGTGCATCAGTTAAGGTGGCATTATGAAATGTGTATTTCCGAACCCCCTGCTGTAATACGGTTTGAGTTGGGGAGTCAGTTCGGAGTCTTAACGGAAGGAGTACGGAGGAGGGCTCATTAGCGAGTCTGCCACAGTGCCAGCAAATGGTTGTTCTAAGGCTCCTTCCAGATCCAAGACAAAGAAGGAAGGAAGAAAGAGAGAGAGAGAGAAGGAGGGAGAAGGAAGGAAGGAAGGAACGAAGGAAAGAAGGGAGGGTGGCAGAGAGAGTGTGAAGAGAGGGGGGAAAGGAACGAAGAAAAGAAAGTTCTCCAGCAGATTATTTTTCAAACAGCCGAACTAATCACAATTAAAGTAGGCAAACAAACTTTTATGACATTGTCCGCTCGCCGTCGAACACAAGTGACTTCCCTGCCTGGAGGAAGTCAGATTACTATACGGAGCCTTTGGAATGATCAGGCCCCTGGGGACACCACGTGGTTTCCTTTCGGGAGGCAGCTCCGGCACAGCCACTCTCCAGAGTGCGCGGCCCGCCGCGGCCGGGCGGGGCGGGGGGTGGG